GGGGGGGGGCGACACATCTGGACACACCCTTCAGGTTTTGTTTTACATTTTTTAAGTCTCACTTTCGGTTTGTCAGTGACGCAGTTCAGCTTCCCACTCTTTCGCTTCTCTGATATATTCGCAGTTTAAATATTATCTAGTTGTCTCTGATATTATTAGCCGACTCGCTCTTGTTCTGCGTCTCGTTTATGCCGTGATTTAAGAGGATGTTACGATCCGTGGGGTTAAGAATTCTTCTGTTAAGCGTGGGGTTGGTCCTTTCAGGTAAGTTGGGCACTGACTTTTCAGTGTGGTGAACAATGGCGCACGTACAGCTTCATACTAACCGTTTATGTTTTATTCTTAGTGTTATTTACATTTCGCCACCGTGTTAATGGTAATGTAAAGGTGGGTGTTCATGGTGAAACGAATGTATCGCTATTCTGGAGGCATTAAACACGAACCCGGAAATAAACGAACTTTTTATTAGTAGTTTATTAATAGTGTAAGCTGAGGTATACTTTAACTGGTGGAAGAATAACATACGAGTTCGAGTCAAAAGATATATCCATATGATAAACATTAACTCCCAGGTGCTGCTAACACATAATAGGTGTGAAATGGAAGTTTTTAATGTTATGTCGCAACAACCCGCTTCAGGACGACGCCTGGTAAATAGCTGGTGAAACAAAAAAGCACAGAAATAGTTGAAATATTCTTCATATTTATTTCTGAGGTGTCTGTAAAGCAGACACATCTGTTTCACCAGCCAGTCCAGCACCGATTAATCTGCAGCACCGGATCAAATTAGAATAAAACCGGTCCTTTGGGTAGGATATCGGATTGTGAGGTAGGATGGAACACCCGGTAGCGGCCATTTTGAGGTCATTCATTCCAAAAGTCACGATCCCGTCATTTGTAGGTTTCATTCGCTCGCCCAGAAAGTCAAATAAAATATTTGAATGTGTTCATGAGCGTTTTAGGGAACAGTAACATTGATTTTATGATGTTATATATGTTTTATGTCTGACGAACCGGTAATGGGATTGTTCCTTTGTGTGAACTTACCAGTACAACCCCGAAAAAGAATAGAACTCAAAAGTAAACTACATTAAGGAGTATTTTACTCTAAGATCAACAAAACAGGAGCACAAGATGGAAGATTTGTTGTCAATCTCCTTCAGAGGTGAACATTTTGTAACAAATCTGCAGTAATTCAATTCTGTATGCTGTACTCCAGTATTCCCTGTTATGCTCCAGTTATTGTTTTGATGTTATCAAAATGCTGTTTTTGGGAATATTTGGGGAAGTTTATCCTATTTATATGTAGATTTTATAACCAATTAATTCCAATCCCCTGGATTTCCTAGCACCAGAAAACCATCAATAATATTCAAAAGTACCTTGTATTTGTTATATTGAAATCAGTTGAATTCATTTAAATGTGTTTAAATGTGATAAAAGTATGTTTTGCTGATGATGCTTAAAAGCAAGTAAAAAAGACAAAACCTGATAAATGTAATTCTTTACAGTGCTCTCCCATATAAACTGGGATCATCATTAACATCTTTTGGAGCACTTTGCAGATGCCACACATGCAGCTAAACTGTGTTTGTTTTGTTCTGCAAATTAGTTTTGTAAACAAAATGTTTGGTTACAGAACTAAATATGAAAAATCATGTTGATTTTGGTTTTATTTCGCCATAGACAAAGATAGTTTCAAGAAAGTGGGAGACAAAGTAGTCCTATCTCCAGGCTCCGTGTCTGATCCCATCACCAGCATCACGTGGAAACATGGCCCGGACATCGCTGTGGAGTGGTACGGAGGTGAAATAGTTCCGTACCGGGACTTCAGAGGTACGTATGCTCAGGATTTAACATCAAATGCATGCAAGATAGTGGCTGTAGATTTGAAAGATCCCGGATAAATGGGAAGGCTGTCCAGAAGGGCATCATGTGTGGAATCTGTGCGAAATCAAGAATATGGATCAATCAGCTTGTGCATCCAAGGTTTCTTTTGAAGATATATTTCTAATAAAAAAAAAAGATCTTGATCCCCAAAATGAAGTGGGATCAAATATAGCTAAAAGCACCTATCTAAAAGAATTGAAAATTCCTTTTAAAACATTTTTTCTGTCATTGTGCTGTAATGAATTAACCTCTTTCATGGATTTGATGCATTTTAAAATGATAAATTTATGCTGCACAGATAATTGAATTACATTGGTTCATTACATATATTTACTAAAAGTCAATTTAAATAATTATCTAATTGGTTAATTATGTAACTGTGATGTTTTTAGGTCGGTGTGAGGTGAGTACTTCCACTGGAGCGCTGACCCTCTCAAACGTGACTGTAAAGGACAGCGGCACCTACACAGCAGAGATCAACAACAGAGTCATGAGTCCGACTAAAATCACTGTTCTCTGTAAGTGGACGAATTCAGACTGAAGTTTGCTTTGACTCTTTTTTTCACCATATTTAAAATAATTAGCTTGTTTGTTTGCTGTCTTTAATTATCAGCTGCTGTCCCCAAACCCACTGTCTCCAAATCATGCAACCCTGAGATGACCATCTGTACTCTCACCTGTGAAACCAGCATCACAAATGACACCAAACCAGTCACCTATTCCTGGATGATAGGTGACAGGCAGACAGCTCAGCCTTCAAGCAACCAGCTCACAATAGCAAAGGTACAAACAGGATCTGATTGTTCACATAACACGTCAGCTGCTCATTTTTTTTCCAGACAATTCCTCACATAAACCACAGTATTAAAGCAGTGCCTAAAAAATATAGAAAACTTAAGACATCAGAAAAAGAAATGAATCTAAATATTTTCAACAATTTTTTAAAAATCTTTTTTTTAGGTTTATGTACCTAAAAATGTACCTGTATGTTGTTTCACTCATTTTTGATAATTGAGATTTTTGATCATTATTTAAAGTTTTAGGAAAATGACAATAACAAAACATAACAAATGAAAGTAAATAAATGACCACAAAAAATAAACACAAAACAATAGAAATGTAAATAAAACACATTTTTTCTACTTTTCACACACTAGCTGAAACAGCCACATCTAAAAGAAATCAAAAATTAAAACAAAGCCAACACAAACAACGATAATTACATTTACACATTTCTATGTACCAGCATATTTTAAAACACAGTGAACAACATAATCTCTGTTTTATACTACTCGAATAGTTTACCTAGATTATACATATACATGCAGTGTTGGGAAGGTTACTTTTAAAATGTA